CGGTAAGTCAAGCGATAAGGAAGAGGAAACTAAAAAGAGTCAAAGGTGAAAAACGGAAAAACTTCAACCGGTATGGAGATTTACGTTAAGAAGTGACTACCAAAAATGTAGGAAAAATGTTACCTTTTCGGAATAATATTTTTTCAACTTTTCATTTTAGAACCAAAAACCTGAAATTGATTTTTAAAGCTTTTAAATTTGTTCTTTAATCACGTTTCTATTTAAACTTGCTGGTTATCAAAACCAAATTTATTTCATAAAACGTGAAGCTCAATGCAATTAAGCCAATTTGTGTTTTAATATAAATTGCAGAAAGTGCGTACTGAAATAAAAATTACCTTAAATGTAATTTACTTACAAAAAAAAAATGAATTTTATGTCAAAAAAATTGTCAAAAAGAAGAGTCATGCAACATGATCAGGCGTTGGCGTTACATTTCGTTGTCATTAGAATTCGTAAAAACTATAATTAAAAATTATTATTATTTAAAGACAAGTTTTTGTCATAAAAAAAAAAAAATTGTTAAAAATATAAAAAAATGCAGAAAACCAAGTGAATAACTACTCCCTTTAGCATATAATATCCAAAGCATTTCAAGAGCAAGTCAACCAATCGAAGCCATGGATACCAAACCCAAGATAGCACTAAATTATTAATCACCTAACACTCTTTATCTCCAAAGGACAACAATGCGGTTGATGATTAGACGGCTTCAAGTCAATTTATAAGGACAGACTAAAGCAGGGAACCCTTGACGAGAGGAAAACAGGGGGACTTAGGAGGGGCGCCTGGGGCAAGCCGGTGAATATATCTTGGTCAAGAGACAAAAAGCTTTCATTAATTCAATATGCTTACGGGGGAGGTCAACTATCATTAACTAGAGCAGCAGACAAGCATCGTTCTAATGATGAAGACGATGATAACCGATTGGGAGTGGATGTGTGTATGTTTGTATGTGGGAATGAATTAGTTTGCATTAAGTATACGCCGCAGTGTACACAGTAGAAGCTGAGCAGGATTTAAGAAGTGTAGATGTGAGTGTGCGGGATGCTAGAAGCTTGTGCTTGTGCTTGTGAGGCAGGACTTATGACTCTCGCTCATTTGGCTGCCGTCGTAGAGTGCCAGAAGCCCTCGGGGAGATTAAGTTCCATCTCCTAGCCTCCGTTTCTCCCGAGAGACTCTCGTTGTGCCGGTGTATATGTGTGTGTGTGTGTGAAGCATGGAATATTAATTCCTTAAGTAATTCACAACATTTGCAACTAATGTTTGTTAATGAGCTGTGCCACATCTCCCCGCATCATGGCATCGTGGTGTTTCGCCTTTGGTTTTGGCACTGCCTGAGGTCAAGGCAAGTGCTGCGGGATGTCTGCTGCTGGTACTGTTGGTGCTACTGCTGCTTTTGCCGCTTTCCGACTTGTTAAATGCTGGAATTACCAAAGTGGAAAAGTGAAAAGGTCCCTCAATAAGCAGGAACTCTCCTCAGGGCTTCCAAATGGCAGCTAGCCCATGACAGCCATGGTCTCAAAGCCGCACACAAAACACTTAATGAAATAATTATGTAAAGCAAACAACCTGTCGTTATATGCGCACCTTGGCCATCACCTTTGCCGCAGAGACTTGCTTTTGACTTTCATTAATTTGATGATATCCAATCTTAATTATTATACATTTAATTAGATGACTTTTATGTGCTCAGCAAGAAGTTACCTTTTTAAAGTATTTTTGTATTTTCCAACTACAATCTGTAAAGGCAAGACTACCATGCAAGTTCTTTTCCATTACTATCTAGATTGATCCCCGAATGGATTACCATTCATTCGAAATAATGCCTAGGACGGCAACTATGTCAGAGCACCTAAACTAGTTTATCACATGCTAATCAGACCGCTCCTCCATTTAGAATGCAACAAATAGCGGAAAGAGTTCCACTCTCCGGCGAGGGGATGGGGGCTTGTAAAATAATTTGAAAACACGGCATTAGCGTAATGAAGCATGCAAAAGTGGGCGGTCGCCAGAGGGGGCGGTTGGGAAAAGTAGGTGAAGCTGTTGGCAAGCAGGTGAAAAGCGCACATAAATGCCAGAAGTTATGCAAGTCCTTAACTTTCATGAGTATGCCACGCTGACAGACGAGCTATTTGGTAAGGGGGTGGTTCGGGGTGTTGATAAAGGGGGTTGAAAAAGGGCGGGAAAGGTGCCGCTAAAGAAAAACTGTTGTTGCAAATGCAGATAGCACTGGCTGCTGGCTGGGTGCAAGTGGCGTATCACACATGTTTGTCATGTGAATGGCGCTGCCTCAAAGTGTCTGTCTGGATTCAGGTTGAGTGCGAGTTCTCTCACAGAACTTTACACCGCACTCATACTTACAGTCAAACACTGTTAAAAATAAAAGTTTCGTTTTTACTTACCTTTTGCCCAGTCAAAATATTCATATGTTATCCATGATACTAATGACAAGCTAACATGGTAAACTAATTTTTATTTTTCAAATATTTTAAATTTTTGAACTTTTATTGTTCCCAATATTTCTCAGTGCACTCACACCTTACCGGAAAGCCTCGTATTCTTATTCAGTGCGTAATCTTCGCCTTTTTCACAGTTTTTCCGTGCACTTTTATTGCATCCTTTCAGGGCGTCTCCTAGGAGGACTAGGAGGACGAGCAGCACCAGGAGCAGAAGCTTGTATCGACAAAAGTTGCACCTTGAATTTGCCACTTTATGCCGCGAGTTCCCCGCACTTTGCCGCCAGTTAAGTAGTTGTAAGCTGCATAATGTATTTACGCAAGCACCGGAAATTGGGTGCCACGAGATGGGTGGGGAAGGCAACCATAAAGCCTTGTGGCAGCCATCGTGCTAAACGCGCATAGACAAGTGTGATCCCCTGCGGATGCCAACGTGGGGACGTGGGATGCGGATGCGGATGTGGATGTGGATGCGGGCACTCTTTGGTTTCTCCTGGCATATTTTATGGCGTTCTGAATCCAGCTAAATTGCAACAACTCGCTGCTGCAGAGCGGATTTGATTAATATGCAACGTGCACGTAGTTCGGCAAGCTGCGGTTTACTGCCAGCCATGTGAGTTGCTCAGATTTTCAACTCTTTCGGTTTCAAAAATTAACGTTTCTCTGATTTTTGGTAGCATTTCCTAGGAGAAGCCATACCAAATTAAAGAATTAAATTCAGATTTCCCTGCGGCTTAGTGCCTGAAAGACCCAAGTTTATCTGATTTAATAAAAAGGAAGATATATTTTCAGCTACTGGTAATTTTACTAGTTCTTTGAATGCCAACTTTATGTTAATTCCTGTGTAATTGGCCAACATTTAGTTTTTAAAACTGACTCGGCACGATTAAAGGACGGAAAAGAGAATGCAAATATGGAATTGTCAGGGAGGGAAAGACAGAGGCAGATAGGTGGGCTTTGACATTCATAGAGTTCAGGGCCGAAAGCAGACGAATACTGGTCCAATTCCTTGCCCTCATTGTCATAATCATCAGCAGCCTTGCCAGCCACCAGGCAAATTTTGTGCGGCAATATGCAAATTAACTTAAATGTCAACGTTGGTAAAATTTTAAAAACGACAAACGCAGAATTCCATCTGAAAAAAGGGTGGCAAACGTGGTCGGTCGCCAGCAATGGCAGCAATGGAAATTCGTCGGAATTGTGCACCAAATACACGGGTTTGGGCCAGAAGAGAGATGGTGACAAACTGCAAACGTCAACCAATTTTTTTCTTCTTTCTCATTTCTGCTCCCCTACTCCTCTACTTTGGTATGTACAGAGGCTGGGAGTGAGTGAAACTCGGTGACAATGATGTTAACTAGAGTGTGAAAACTATGATTGGCTGACAACGAGGAGGATGAGCAGGAGGACGAGGGCTTGTACTCCACACACAGCCTGATTTATGCCATATTCTTGCTCATCTCACCGCTCAGGGGTCGTCACCTGCATCCCATCACTCCACGTTTCTCGGCTCGTCAACCACTTTGGGTACGCTTGTTGCAACAAATGCCACAAACGGTTTTCATTTTCATTTTGATTTTCCTTCTCTTTGCCTAGATTGTTCCTATTTTTCTTTAAAGAGCAAACTCTCAAGCTTTGCACTAAATGGCGCTGAAAGAACTTTTAAGATGATAATAATTTTTCAAGCTGGCAGAATCTAGGTTAGCTAATGGACTATTTGCGGCTCTTTAATTTGGTTGAAAAATGTGGCAATTAGGTTGAGTAATGGATGTATCAGCCAAAAAAAAAAAAAGCAACAAGAATGGAAAAGGGAATAATCAAATAAATTACCATAAATAGTTTTTATAATTCCATTAAAACAAATTAGCATTCATTTGGCTTAAAGGAAAAAGGTAAAAATAGGAGTAAATTTCATTTAATGAAATTAATTTAAATAAAATGTGGGAAAGTGTAGTTTAAAATTCACAAAAAGCCATCGACTGCTGAATTCACAACTAATAATCTGAATCCCAACATTCTATATAACTCGTACAGTTTGGCATGGCCACGCCCCCTTCCTGCCCAATAACCACACAAAATTACTGTTGAATTCATTTCAGAAAAAGTTGCCTGCTGGTTGGGCGATGGGTGGAAATATTTTGACATCCAGTTGGTTTGCCAAGCTCCCCGGTTTTGCATCAGTTTAATACGTTGTTAGTGGGAATAAATTGTGTTCTTTTTTTTATATTTTTTGCCTTCTTGTTTTTCAGGGTGCATGGGTGTGTGTGGAGTAGCGGTAAAGTCATGAATGAATATTTAACAAACTTGTCTGCAATTCTGAGGCAGCGTTTGAATATGTGAGTTGACTGGCTAGAAGGAAAGGTAGCATGCATTTTTCAGGACACAGATTTTTCCGTAGTCCAGCTTGATAAGAATTTAATTAGAAAAGTGTATTTCGTTAGGGTTTTGGTTTGTCAGTTGGTTTTACTAAGTGCGAAGCGTAACGAGAAGCTATAATTTGTAATTCGATGTAAATTGATTTCAAGAAATAATCGACTGGCGTCCATTGAAGAAATTGTATTTTATTTATTTGTATCTCACTTATTTGTTATGGCTTAAGAATTATTGCAAACACTTCATTTCGTTTCAATTGATTTTCATTCTCTTAAAATTTGATGTTGCAAATCAAGTATACGCAACGTTGGAGCAACTCCTTACTATTCTGTTTATTTAGTTGATTAAGTTTTGGTTTTGTTTTAAGTTTTGGGTTTTTTCCTTCCTTGGCTTGGCTGCGTCTAAAATTTTAGTAAGTCTTTTATATACTAACTAATGTTTACATTAAGTTTTTGGCTTGCTTCGGTTATTTATTTGAATGGAACGCAGTAACACCCGTTTATGTACACTTGTATTCAATATTCAATTACCATTATCCTTTAGGCATAGAATGTAGTTTTAGTCTTAAAAAATCAGGGGTATTCATACAGATATCAGAAGGTATACGTACATATTTACAATTTATAGCTTAAGGAAACCAAGGAAACTTAAGGTTAGTTTCACATTTAGTTCGTATTCTGCCAGTTTGCTGAACTACTTGATTTTATTTCATAAAATTCTCTTCAAACACCAGCTGTCTTGACAATGTATTAGGGACTAATGCTATGCTTGCAATATCAATATGATTGGTTAACTTATATATGATACAACCATGGCAGATTCCAATTGATCAACTTAAGGGCAAATCTTCTTATTCGTTAAAGGCGAGTTCTGTGCATTCTATTTACACAATTCTTGCAACATTTGAATCAAAGTATACGATATGCCGGAAACTAGGCGTGATTCTCAATATTAATTTACACTCAGATGGAAAACAAATATGAATAGAGAGTCGTATGGTTATTAATATAGATTCCATGGATGTCGTCCTGTATGTATTGCCTTGGTGATGGGTGACCTTCTTACTCTCTGCTTTAATACGTATTTAAATCGAGTAAAATCTTAATTCGTAGCCTCCTTTAATGGGTAAAATCTCAGGCGAAAGCCTGAGGACAACTCAAGTCTTGTCCTCTGCCACTTTGGTGGCACTAATTGAGCTGCTGACTCTGATGAAGTTGGCCTCTGATTTGGCTTCTGTTTCTTCTCCCTCTACTAGCACTGTTTTTTCAACTTCTACTGCTGCTCCTGTGACCAATGCCCTTGCGGTGGCTTTGCTGGCATTCGGCTGGCAGATGTTCCTGGCCAGTGCAAATTTAATAATCCACAAAAGTGTCAGAAGCGTTGAAACATTCCGCCAGTGCAAATAGCCGTGACATCCAATTAGCGCACTCCAGCTGACACTGCCCGACTTAATGGCCGAGGCTGAATATTCACCTGCCGATCAGAATGGAATAGAACAAGTTATTTGAGAGCACAGAGTGTTGCGGTTTTTTGAACAGCAACTGTGACAGCAACAGCACCACCACCAGCATAAATCCCACCGCCATGGTAGGAAAAACTAATTCAATAATGACACTGCAATCCGCCCAATTTCCCAGAACCCAAATCGCACCCAATCCGCAGCCATCACAATCAATTTTTGACTAAAAATTAAATCTACCCAGACTCGACTCCGCACAGCTCAACTCGTCTGCGTTCGATTGGATAAATAAAGTGCCCATTGTAATTAAATATTTCTATTCAAAAATTGAACAGCAAACATGAGTGGGTTTTCGGATGCGGTTTATCTACGTTCGTCTGGGTGGTTCGTGAGTTTTGGGCACGGCTAATACAGCTGATGGATTTTTGTGGCATCCGCGTGAAATGCGTACATGGCAAATATTGAAACTGCATCGGCATGCCAACGAAATGAACTCGAAGTTTCAAATTAAATAAACCAAGCCCTTGATCCCCGAGCAGCTCATTAGGGTTGAAATTGCAATTGCAATAAAAGTGTGAAAATCAATATTAAATTATAATTTAAGATCTAATTTAGGGAAATTTTTAAGTAACAAGTTTCAATTCCAAATTTGTATCCCAAAACCTATCAGATTTCCCATTCCAATAAGGAGTCGATAAGTTAACCATAATTAGGCCACACTAATTAGGAGTTTCTCAGCACTAGCTCTTCCATTAACCCCCTGGGTTATCAATTACCATAACCACTGAATGTATCCTACGGCAACCGTAACAAAATCATGCGAGTCATCACAAAATGGCTCTAAAACGAGCTGCGGTCTGCGAAATCAATTATGCAATGTTTCCGGGGGCGGTGGGCGGTGGGGGAACTTGTCGAATATGTATGAAATTACTTATTTAAAATAATTAAACTTGAATAAATTTAAAAGCCAACCGCACGCTGACATTGCCACTTCACAAAGCCCAGCAAACGAGTAAGCAAATTAATTATGCCACCGGAAAGGGGATAGGGCCTAGGGCCGGGCAGTCTAGCTGATTTAATAAATCACAGAAGGGCGAGTGCAATTAAAATAAAAATCCCTGAATAAATAAATGATAATATCATTAAGTTATTAATAATCATTTGTCATGATGCACACAGACACCGAACGTTGTGCCAGCGTTGCGGCAATAAACATACAAATTTGTAATATGCCACAACAATTGTGCCGCAGAAATGACATTAAGTTTATTAACCTTTTCGCACTTGCACATGATTCGTGGAAAATGTTATTAAAATTATGTAAAAAGCGCAAAGTAGGGGCCTCTTCTGTCTGAAATTTCATTATTGTCTGGCACTCAGCCAGGCTCACACGAGCCTACTCCACTCCCCACACATGCAGATATATATAATACATAAAAATATATATATCTCTCTGGAGCATTGTTTTTCATTATCCTCGGCTTTAACATCCTTTCACTCATTTGGCCCAGCTTAACAGCAACAGCAACAAAAAAAGAGAGTGAAAAACTCGTGGCAAGTGGGCTGTGAGCCTTTCTTTTATCTGCGTCAATTAGTCGAATATTAAAAATACATTAATTCCTTGTTATAAATGATGTTTGCTCTCGCCCCACATGGCAGCCATTTCACAGAAAATTAAATTGTGAATTTCATTTTACAATCTCGTCGGCAGAAATATCTTTGACAATTGTTTGCCCTTTCTGACCTAGACTCAAGCCCCCTTAAGAGCCGCCCTTAAACCCGGTCTACCTAGGTTTTTTATGGCCATTATTTGTTGCGTGACAGTCGTCGTAGCAGCAACTTGTCTACCTGTCTGCCCAAAAATCCTGCTGCGAGTCCTTGTCCTCCGTCAGGTGTCATCAGTCACAATCGCTCGGCATTTGTTTTGCCGGATCTCAGACGAGTGTGAGTTAACACTCCGGCCCTGTCGAATCATATTGTCATGTGCTGAAGTGCCTTTAAGTAGCGTGCTCCAAACGGGAAACGACAGGCTACAAATAGCAGTCAAACGCAAACACAGGACGAGGACAGACGAGGACATGTCGGAGCTGACAGCCAGGAACAGGAACTGGATCAGCAATAGGAACGACAACACATTGCCAGCGGGAGTGATGGACAAACGATTTAAATGCAAGCGGAAATTTGTGGCAACAAGCTCACACGGTCAAAAACTGTGTCGATGGCATTGCATTTCACAGCTTAAAAATAAGTCTCAAAGAGAGAATTCCTATTGTAAATATTTTTAATACGAATGAGTTAACTTTTACATAACTTTTTGTGTTTTATCTTCTCGAACAATACTCTTCTGTTTGGTAATGAAAAAATATTGTTATTAAAGGGTAATTAAAAAACAATGAAGTCAGATGAAAAGTTGTCACAAAAAAGGTGACCGAACTTAATACCTGTTTTTTCCTCTTAATCAACTATAAAAAATAATATAAAAATAAGAACTTAAACAAAATCGAATGACAGAAAAATAATAGTGTATTTTTGTAGTGTAAACCAATAGAGAGGCAAATAGAGCGGAGTGAGACGAAAAATCGGACAGATAGCTAACCATTACGTAGCGACATTTATAGGTCAGTCATCGCAGTCTCCAGCATCACTGTCATTGTTGTAGGCGTCCTTGGTCCTCGGACTCAACAGTGTCCTGGCCAGTGTTGCCTGGCGGACATTGAGCAAATAACGCAATTGTGGCCATTTCGAGATAACAATAAAACTGCAACTGTTCCTTTACTGGGACCGACTCTTTCGGTTTGGTTTTCGGTTTTCGTTATTCGTTATTCGGTTCTCGGTACTCGGTTTCATTTCGTTTCGTTTCGCTGCCATTGTGTTTGCCATTGTAGAAAATTGTGTAAACAAAATAAAAACCTCTCGAATGGTTAGAACAGTGGTTAGTGAGGGGATTAAAAAGGGGAACCATTTTGTTAAATTTTCTGTGCTTTTTGGCCATGTTTGTTGTGAAACTTTTTCCTTTCTTTCGGGTAAGTTCAATTTACATTCATAATTGGTGGGCCTGGGCTGCTGTCGAAGCAATTTGCCACACTGTGCTGATATTTTGCGAAAATCAAAAGTCAAACCAAACACAAACGCATCCGAAAAAAAATTCAATTAAGCTAAATGAAAACTTAATTCAATTGCTCCGCCGTTCAGACAGACAAACAGTTAAAACCGCCCCGCCAACGACCTCACCTCAGCTCAGCTGCTCAACCGCCCACTCAATGGCCCAGCCACCCACACTATACCACCAATCCATCCCCCTTACCGTTCAGCACGTGGAGCACTATGGTGCGGGGGGCACTGTTCGAGGGGCTGCACGTGTAGTTTCCGGAATCCAGTTTGACTACGGCCGGAATGATGAGAGAAGCCGTCTGCAATGATATAATAAGAGCACACACATGAATATAGCGGTACAGTGAGGCTTCCTTTAGAAAGGTCATGGATACATGGTAACAAAATAACATCATGTGCATATTTTATAAAGATTTCCCTTATGAATGTTGATCTACCAATGAAAGGTATTCAATTTTTCAATGTATCTTTGGGAGATGAAAAATAAAAATTGTAATGATTAATTTCAAAACAAAACTGTTTTGGATTCTCGGAAGCATTTAGCTTTAGTTCCGCTTAAAGAAGTGCACCTGTACGGTAATATTATTCATCTGCCGAGACAGCCGTCAGACGGGATCGAGTGTGGCAGGCGCGGACTGCTGGGGCCGTATTAAAAATTATAATTTGACAAACGTTGACAATAAGAATTTAATAAAAATTATTTTACCTGCCTCGCATTCACGCCAATTTGCGTAATGAAAAGGCATTTAATGGGAACATTTTCCACTGAGCAAATTTCCAGTGGGCGAAACGGGAGGAGTGGCAATTTCAGGGGCAGAATGCGGTAAGCCACTTACTGTTATCTGCTTAATGAAACTGCTGCTTGGCAGCATGGTTGTCGTTGTTGTGGCAGGAGTTGTTGCCGCTTCAGCTTCTGTTGTTGTCAGCCAGGAGCTGGTTGTTGCTGCTGCTGATGTGGTTTCACCTGTCGCAGAAGTTGCTGCTGTTGCTCCTGCCAAGGAAGTTGAACTTGTTGGGCTAAGAAGTCCTCCTCCCGTCGACGTCCCAGAAGTCGAAGATGTTGCATCCACCTCAGCTACGAGCTGAGCTGTTGACGTCGTCTCCGTGACAAAAGCTACTCCTGCAGCAGCAGCAGCAGCAGCCCCCATTTCGGATACGTCATTCTGGGATATGGCATCTAGAATATATGAACGTGTTATGGTTACCAAACCATTAACCGTCTCCGAGGATGTTGCTGCTCCTGTTGATCCTGTTGTGGCTGCTGTCGATGGTGTTGCTGCCGAAGTGCTGGCGGTTGCAGTTGTAGTTGTAGTGGTTGTTGTCGTTGTGGTAGTAGTGCTGGTGGTTGGCACTTCCGCTGGCAGATCGATGCGTTCAATTTCCGTACGCCAACCGCGACGATTATGCAAATAGATTTGCTTCTGATTGTAAAACCAATTAATGAAAAGCGGCGGCTCCAGAGCCTGGCTAATTATGCAACGCAATTTCACTTGACTTCCGGCCTTCACATGTCGCGTTGACTCGCCAATTAATTCGGTTTTCGGCTCTGCAAAAGGCAAGGGGAGAAAGTGAGATGTAAGGTTGTTGTAGTGAAAGCTAGGACCCACACACAGATCCACAAAGTTTGCTCTCGAAAGTGCAACGGCCATTGATTTATTGTCTCTGCCATTGCAGATTTATAGGTGTGGTCAGGGTTAGAGATTTGGGTTTTGATTTTGATTTTGGCATCGGTTTTGGCGGTTGAAGGCCAATGGGTCAGTTGAATGTTTGCACAGTGAATTAGAGACTCATGGAGTCGGTTTGCTTTGAGCCAACATGCATTGCTATTGTCCTTTGGTTTTTGGCAGGACAAATATAATTGTGGTCAAAGCATTTGTTTTAGTTTAGAAGTTTCTATGTCATATAATAATTTATGGTATAATTTGTAAGCCAAAATGGTTTTGACACCAACAAATTGGATGAATACGGAACGCCAAAACTGTCATTTAGATTTTGATTTTTTACACATGTTGCCCCAATAAGTATGCTATAAATTTGAAGCACGCCCTCCCCTACTTACCTACAATCCTTAGATGGACAATGGCGCTGGCTTTGGGCTCCGTGGACACCTGGCACTCGTAGGTTCCCTCATCCTTGAGCTGCACATACTTGATCTGCAGTGACCAGCGTTCTGGATTCGGTGAGAAGACCGATTGGAAACGTTGATCCGCGATGAAGGTGGTTTGGTCAACGGTAAGTATGTGCCCGTCCCTCATCCTCAACCAGGAAATCGGCTTTTTCACCAGCTGCTTGACCTGCCCAAATGAGATAGCAAGTTTACTTTCAATTATCGAAAAATCATTCGAATGGGGGTTTCAATTTTTAAAATTAATTCAATTATCCCGCACAAAAGCAATTCAAACATTAAATCCCAGCTGGCCGACCCTATAGGTTGGTCAGTGCCATGATGATGATGATGATGATGATGTCAGCAGAACTTTGCCTTGTTTGCGTTGCCCTACCTCAGCTGGATATACTTTGGTAAACTTCACGAGAAGATTTCGGTAAAGGGGGGCGCACATGGATCCCTGGTGGAGAGCAGTAAACAATCACGATAACAAAACGACGATTCATTTGTGTCAATAATGGCAATAATAATTTAGTGGCAATTTGCCCAGGCAGCCTCCTTTCGAGCAGCAAAAACAAAATAATACACATTAAATTGCCAGTCATCGATACGGAAGTGCCCCCAAAATCATCTCCCCCCTTATCAGGTATCTATGAATGTCTATATTTAAATATGGATATGGATTCGCAATAATGTCCATGACTTCCTCTAATTACACTGACCCAAAAACCGTTTAGTCAACCAACCAGTTGAGCAAAAAGCAAACACAAATCTCGGTTCATTTCAATGACCTCCCATTCTCTCAGTGTGATTATTGAGGGGGTAACTATGTATTGCGGTAACTGGCCGAAACGAAGGCGTCGTGACAGAGGCAAATGACTGTCTTTGAACCACTGTCATCAACTACATTGTCGGTGTCAGGGCCCAGACAACGAGGAACTCTAAGGACCCCGGCGACGACGACGACGACGACAACGTCATGATTAGATACTATAATCATTTGCGTTTTATGTGCTTGTTGTTGCCGCCATTGTTGTTGTGGATGTCGCCAAGGAAGTGGCGCTGGTGAAGAAGCCCCACGGTCTCCCAGGCACTCCCCCATTCAAGGATTCGAGCTGTTATTGCCGGTTGAGCACGTGCTGTCAAAAACCATCTCCTTTAAATGAATATGAACATCTCCGCTTGGTCGACAAATCAACTCACGGAGTACTTAGTCACCTGCAGGAAGGGGAATCATTAGGAAAATCCCGCATTTCTCCTGAAATATAGAATTATTTCTCCTTTATGAGCCTTCGATTTAATACTCGTACAGGAATGGTTCTTTAAGGTGACTATTGCCTTAGTGACTAGTGACTATTATACAGTCTGCAGTCTATTACTGTTTCTCACTACATATTTAAGTCTAAACTGACTGACTGCTGCGTTTAGCTCTCTAATTTCCCTTTCTCGTTTAAGCTTAAAACTAATCCTGTAGCCTATTCAGTTTCATATATTTAATTCCCTTATTTAATGTAATACCTACACAAGGCACACGTTTAATTAATCAGCTTCCATTTGATACAAAATCATGTAGAATTTAAGTACAAAATGATTTGCCTAGATAACTGGAAAGAAATCGAAAAAGTCACCGATAGAAGCCACTGTGCGGTGTGAGAGTTTATTAAATTTCGCCACAGTCTCCGGCAGGAGTATCCCGGCTCTAAGGACATTATTATCGGTCTGAGCATCGACATTATACTCGGTATTAAGTGAAGATGCTTATCCACTAAGGCCGATGAGCTTGGTTGGGCAGGCAGCCAAGTCAGGACTTTGAGTACGTGGCAAGTGTAAGTAGGTCTCCTGTTTTTCCGCCTCTTTTGTCCTTGCGGCTGACAAATATCCCTGTGTGGCCTGAACAGGTTCCCGCCTGGCATTAGCTAATTTAAATTTTCGCTGCCTTCGTAGATTGTGTTTAATTCCGCCGTAAAGTGATGGGCCTTCGTCGTTCGTCGGTACTTATCAAGATGCCCGACTGTTTGCCACTTAAAAATTGTTAATTAGTTTTAGCTGCAGTTCAAACTGCCCCTAAAACTGTACCACATAGATACAACCCCTATTCCGGGTTTATCCAAGTCTAGCAACTGCCATATCCAGTTCCTGTCCTCGATGGGTTTTATGTTCCCTTGACTGTCGTCATCACCCATCAGCCCAGAATCCAGATTGAGACTCCGCGTGAGCATCGTTTTCCATCACAGTCGAGCAGACAACAAAGTTTGCTCATAACATTGCGAATTTTCGTCTAAACTTGTTTGCAAATAATTTCTTTTATTTTGTTGATTCTCCTCAGTCTTCCGTGTTGCGTCTTCCTCTTTCTTTTCACACAACAATACACCTCAAAGTGCCTGCTTTCATATCTTCAGCAAAATAACACAGCACAACACAAGGAAAAAAATACAAAAATGAGAGAAAACTTTTCGCTGAGTTGCCGAAAAAAAAGTAAGAAAAGAATGACAGCCCGATGGAAGGGAGAGTCTGTCGATTCTGGGTAAAAAATATTCAAGTGCTTGCAGGCAAAGCATTTTTGTGGCTTTCCCCCTCAGCTCGATTTTGTGGTCCCTTCGATTCGTTATCCTTCAGCTGGTTTCTTTGTGACGCCCACGGTCTCAAAATGTATTATTAATTGATTAGGTTTAAGCAGATTTGAAGATTATTCCGGGCATATAAATATATACACGATGTGCAGCGCCAACAGCGCCGAGAGCGAATATGGTATATCCCAGATTGTGTGTGCGTATTTAAATTATCTGATAAATATTTTATAGTAGATTGTTTTTCGTTTTTGGCGCAGGAAGGTTCACGGTTGAGGGAACATTTAGCCAGCGGGGAAGTGTGCAAACTTGTTCAAGCTAAAAGTTGAGCCAAAGATTGTAATAATCTATAGATTTTTATCGTGTAACTACATTTGAAGTAATATGTTTATTAATAACCAATGTAGCTTGACAAATAAATTATTTTGAAGAAATTCAAAGGAGGCCCAATGACTTTCGCAAGCTAATTTAATCCAATGCTAAATGTTTTTTTATATGATTTACAAATGACTTACTCAATTGCATAACTTTCCAGTAAATTTCACTCGACTGATCAAAGACTCGTATTAATAAGGTTCCCTCTCCAAATAAAAATCCAAATAAATTGTAATAAATCAAAAGAGTGCTTTCTTAAGGAGCATTTCCAGGGGGTAAATCGGTATAACCCTTCACCCTATTATAACCCTCGCTGCTCAGCTGCATCTTTTAATTAACTAGGCACCTCTTCCACCCGCTGGTTTCCTTAACAGCTCAGTTCCTTTGAAAAAACATCTCAAGGGAATATGTTCGCATCTGCAGTTGTCAGTTGGGCGGAATACTTATTCCTCCTGCAACTTTAAGTTCTGCAGTAATTTCCTGTCCAAACAGTAACCAGTAAATAGTGACTCTGCCAGTGGCAGCGATAGAATCCAGCAGCGCCAATTATAATTTGCAATGTGAAACGCGAAAATGCGGATGTGCGGATGTAAGCCATGCGGATGCAGCAGGCAAAGAGCCAAGGAAAGATGGGTAACTAAGTTATTAGCGGATGCCAGGGCATTTCACTCGACCCCACCTCTCACTTTCCTCGATCTCTGGGCACATAAATGTGTCCTTATGTACCAGGCGGATGTATAAGCGTACATAGTGACAACTATTTGGGTCATCGTTTTTGAGGAGCTCCAAACAAAAATGTGTGTCTTCTTCAGCTTCTTCTGCATTTTACTCTTCTCTGGGCTATAACCATTTTACTCAGAAGTTGGTAACGTTGTAAAAGAGAAATGAAAGGCTCTAAAAAGTTTTTATATTCCTATTCAGATTCAGTTTAGTCTGTCCGTAAAGATTTTATGTGTTTACCGAAAAGGTTAAATCAATATCAGAAAACTATAAACTATAATCCTGTCATAAGAAGGATTATACTTAAAAGTTAAAATATATATCGGGAAGATTAGGGTAACGGAACTGCTCATTTTTATAATCTATATCTTCTTCAGATTTAAATTAAAATCACTTTACAACCATTTCCATAGTTCCCTTCTTTTTAGATAGTTTTTGTAATTTTCAAATAATATTCAAGTGTATCCATCTGCTTATGTATGCCCTTTGGCTAGGGCGTGGCATCGACATCGACATCAGCATCGGCAATTTCCGGTTTTGTTTTCGCTGAGTTCCGACAGCGGCCAGCGTAAATTAGTTCAAAGCTCTAAAATGGCAGAAAGAACGGAGAGCGGAAGTTGGGCCAATCGATGCCACATCCCTTGGGTTCAACTTCCTCAGCCTTCACACAGCTCTCTCTTTTTTGTGTTACCGAACTGGAGTACTGTTATTATAAATTATCAATGATTAATAAAAATGCTTTTGTAAATATTTGCACAGCCAACAATTTGCCGTAGAACTTCTCTCTGATGGATTGCTAGGTAAACAAAGGAGCATGAAAGAGTTTGCTTGAGCTAGCTGATTGAATTTTCAGGAAATTTTCCAGCCACTTCTACCTCAAATTTCCTCCCAATTATGCCTTCGAAGGACTTGTAAACTCATGATTGGGCCTGGCACCATTCACACTTCTCGAATCTGATTGCAACAGGGAAATCTAATCAGGGCCCGCTGTTTAATTAAAGGGAAAGTCGTGGGGAAATGCACATGAAAAAATTATATGTTTGTTCTCTTTTTTGGATTAGTAAATATTGAGCATGATGAATATATTATATCACATATCATTATCAGCTTAGTTCTTGTTTAAATATTCATGAAATGTGAAAAACTTCATAAAGTCAGTTTATTTTTCCTTTGTGCTCAAATTAAATGGTAAAACCCATTTAATTAAGTTGAAATTAGCTAAAAATGTGTATATTTTGTTTGTTTTTTTTCAGCATCAACTTTATTAAATTTCTGGAACCAAAAGCCAATTTAAATATTTCCCCTTTTGCACAAAATTGTTATAGCCTCTCAGGCTCCATTGATTTCTATTTGCTTTCCTTTCCCAATGAAAGGATATTCAATAAATGTTTTTCTGTCTTCTGTAGTTATTTGCAAATAGGAAAATAGCTCTGTGTTTATACAGCAATATTTTCCCATCCAAACATAAACTACGAAAGAGTTTCCCTACGAAATTGACAAATATAACAACTTTTACTTTACTAATTGATTTTAGGGGAGAGATTTCCAAGAGTATGGACAATTTTCCGCTCAGTGTAGTTGTTCAACTTACATTGCATGGCAGATAGGCATGGGTGCCGGCCTGGCTAATTATTGTCTGGTAATCATCTATTGTTGGCGGTGGCTTCAGCGTTGTTGTTGCCACCGGGCGGCGTGTTGTTCGCCTCGTTGTTGTTGTTGTTGTTGTTGATGGTGTTGTTGTGGCAGGGTCTGGTGTTGTTGGCAGAAGGGGAAGAGGGAAGCCCCGAACGTCGTTGCATTCAGGGCAATCGAAGCTAGAGATGTGGCGTTGTCCTGCGTGATTCTATAGCTGTGCTGCTCCTGGACATTCCGATTGCTCATAATCAGATTCGCCTCGAGGGCAGCGGTCAGCCTCAGCCGCTGATCGCCATTGTTGCTAATGTTATTAATGGCGACATTGTTGCGGGAGCGATTCGGCGGAGCTGCTGCATCCAAAGCTGCTGCAGCCATTGTTGGCCCAAATGTGCTGGCTTTGTTCAACGTCTGGGCCATTTGCGTTGTCGCCGGAATTAATGCCTCGCGCCTTGATTGAGTCCTTTGAAATGCTCGCCCATTTGTTCCATTGCTGTTTAATATTGATGTCTCCTCCGACTGCCCTCTGATGGCTGGATAATGGGACGGAAAAAAAGAAGGAAAATGAATAGGTTGTGAGTGGAAATTAATGACTTAGTGTTTTGTTTTCTGTCCGCTGTCCATGGTCCCTTTTCACCCCCCAACCATCGGCTCCGATATTTATATATATTTCAAATGCCATGATCCCCATTTATCTGGAATACTCGTTACGACAATTAAAACGATTTACGGCCCCCCAGAAAACATTTTTGTTCAATAAATTAATCTTCATTTTTCGGGTGCCTACCTCAGTCCCAAAATACGCAAAAGTTTAAGTTGAGTTCCGGGGAAAGTGAAATTAATTAGCTAATTACGAACTTGAATTGATTTGCATGTACTTTGGAGTGGAATGAAGTGAAGAGCCGTTTATACAATGACAGCAAAGTTTTGGGCTGGCTAAAAGCTGGTAATTGCCAGTAGTAAACTGCTTTTTGGTAGCCTTGGCAACTCATAAGGCGCCAATTGCCAAAGGCAAAGAGAATTTGGTTCATGGCCAATGCGCCCCACCTGAAATCGTAATAAAATATATAGAGACCAAAAATCGGCTATAAATTATACGTCTTTGACATTCGAATCGAAAGCTTTTGGGGCTTCTTCGGATGCAGATTTTCTGGCTGCAGCTTCCCATACACATGCAACGCGTAAATTTTGCCAAATTGGCGCCATAAATTCCGCTCGAAACTTTCCGAAAGTCAAAGATAGAAACAGCCAAGGAAAGTGAAAGCAAAAGTGCGTGTGTGAGCTATAGGGTTTGGAGAATTCTTGGCAGAATGTTGATAAGAAGTTCAGCCAAAGGTAGGCAATAACTTGGTGTACTTTGATTTAAATTAAATGAAACTTTATGCACTTTACTCGCTAACTAAACAAGTATGCAGGGAAGGATTAACAAAGGAGTTCATTCATCTTTCTTGGTACTTGAGAAGTAAAATATTACGAGCTTGTCATGCATACTAATTGGCCTTACAGACTCATAAATTTTCTAAAAATTAAATTACAATGGAAGCATTTACAAAGTCTCTCTTTGCAAGCAGATTGTATCCTTAAACGCCTAAAGATATGCAACACATTTTTATACAATGCAATGCTCTCTCTTATTTGTCTTATAACCAAAGCACAACGGCGTTTGGTGTTTGTAACTGGGTCTTAATTAGCTAATGAACAGAGATCACACAGATACACAGAGAGAAATGGAAGCCATCAAGTGCCCTTCGACAGCCATTGAACCTCAAGTGGAAATGGCAAGGCAGAAAGAGGAGTCGAGGGTTCCAGCATTTTCTAATCAAGTTCAGCGTATTTCGCCGGAGCTCAAAGTAAATGCAAAACTCTGGAAGCCCTTTTAACGATTCCGGCCAAGTCGTGCGTTTGCCTGTGTGTGTGTAACACTCTCTTTCCAGCCTGCTGTCTCTGTGTGCGTGCGTAAAGAGAGTGGCTGTGTATGTGTGTGTGTGCGTTATCATGTTTTATGTTTATGCTTCGTGTACGTGCAATAAAGATAAAGCGATTGCATATAAAAAACTTTTTAATTGCCTGCACTAATGATGCACTGCAGCCAACTTGATTATAATAAAGTTACAAAAATTCCATTTCCCTTCGAGGACAGTGGGTAAAATATTGAAAAGGGACAGAAAGGAAACTGTAATTAAGTAAATTTGCTGCCACAAAAAAGGAAACTTTATGTTTTTTGTTATGAAAAACTTTTTATTTCGGTTCTTAAGAGTGTAAACCAATATGTTTTTAATGTATTATTTTAAAAAGATTTTTTATTCCATACAATAATTTATTCCCCATTAATAGTTTCCTTACACCTTTCGACGTACTTAATACCTACTTTTAACTACACTTTCAAGTGGCTTAGAAAAATTTGCTCTCAATAATTTTTAAGACTGCACTACATAATTAACACTAATTAAATGAAAAATGTTCTCCTTTCCTCTGTTCGCCCTTCCTAGACCACTGTCGGATGCTTCAACTCATTTGCCCGCAAAACATATAAAAACCAACAGCTGCCGTCGTCTGGCGGACCAAGGAACTCGGTAAAAGGACGAGGAATTCGTGGCAGTAAGTGGGAGCACAGAGGGGCGTGTCAGGCAGCTATGAAACAAATCAAAACAGCATAAAAAAGTGCAATAAAACAAGGGAATTACTTGAAAGTCCGATGAGCAGGCCGAGTGCAAAGAAAAAATGAAAACAAAATAATAAACTGAAATTATTACGGAAAAAATTATCATTAGGGCAGCACGCTGCATAGGGATATCAATGAAGGTTTGGGGACCAAAAAAGAGGAGAATTTAGGGAGAAAGGACACGCGACAACTGGTGAAGCCTTAAAAAAAATGTTGCTTAATCTTTGCGCGCCAAAACAGAAGGGAAAGTCGCAAACTAAAAAGTTGTAAAAACAGACACGAACACAGCGCCCTGCTACGCCCATGCCACTGTAAAAACAAATTGTGCGCAAGAGTAAAAAATAAAAGAAATATATAAAGGAGACACAAAGCGATGGGAAAGCGGAGTAGGAGGGAAATCAAGACGAGCACTTGACGGAGGATGAAGGAAAACTTGCGTAATGAGGCTGGGCGGATGGGGAAAAAGCGGAAAACTCTCACACATAAAATGAGCCTCATCATGCAGAATTTCATTGACTCGGGAAACTCGGCAGGAGAAGCTGCTGGGACTGCACGAAAACTTGAGCTGCCCCCACCCCACCCAATCCCCTTCCCTACACTAAAATTAACCGAGCAGGCTCCCAAGTCCCGCGGGCATTTTTAGTAGAAAGTGTTTTAATCAAACGCCTCTCTACACTTTCATCGGCCGGAAGCGAGTTGAGTTCGCCGGAGTCTAAGTTTGTCTGCCGCTGTTATTGTTGCGTAGTTGCTTGTTTTTGTTTGCTTGCCTCTGTTATTGTTATGGCAACAATAATAAAAAACAACACGAACAAAATATAAAAAAACTATGCGAAAAATCGCAGCTGAGCAGCGGAAAATGTTCGCCCGTTTTAATTTATAAACTCGTTCCAGTGAATAATTAAATTTTTTGTTTCGATAATCTTTGTTTTGGCAATTTCAAAAATCCACTCTTATTTGCTACTAAAATCAGGCTTATTGCTTTTATATTAGAATTTGTTGCCAATAAATAAGGTGATCTGAACGTTCATTGAATGAGATCATAAAAATTCACTTTCATAACTCAAAAGTATCTTCATGTCGTACCATTTAAAACCATATAAAATGTAATATTGAATCAAAGGAATTCATTCATTTTCATTTTATCTACTTTTAATATGTTGCAATGGGCACTATAAAAGGTTTGTGATTTGATAGGGCGGCTCCTAGTTGCTTTTCTTTCAGTGTGCACCCCTGCAGGCTGACTGATGTCCTGGACGCGCCTCCGTTGTGTCCGTCTCGGGCTGACAACATTTCGACACTTTTCCTAATTATGATGGGCATGTTGTCGGGATGATGAGGCTAATACTGAGGCTGATGGTGATGATGATGATGATGATGGAAATTGGCTTAACCCCAAGGCGCCCGGGCGCAGTTATGGAGCAGCGTAATCTGACCCCCTTCCTCCCCTAACCGAGTTAATTCGATGCCAGGAGGACTCTCGGCCGGACACTCTCATCAAAATGCCAGCCTAGTTTTCGCCCATAATGATGACAACACTGATGAGGGGCCATGGGGGTGGGGTATGGGGATGAGGTCGAAAACAGGCCGTAACTTTGTGTAATAATTGTTGTTAAGCGTTTAAGTCGGGCGTGCCACTTTGGCGGCCAACCAAGAGGCATCTCGTGGGAAAATAACCCGAGACTTGAGCAACTTATCGCTACCGCAAGGCTATATGGCCAAAAAGCCAACAAAGGGGGGCCCTTTCAAGTGGCATGGGCCAGAACCTGGACTTGAGTTGGGTCGGCCCATTGAATTGTTGGTTTTGCGGGGGGGGAGGACTCTTCCAAGTTACTTCACTTTCTGCTACAAGCATTCAATGATGCTCAACTGGGCAGTTGAATTTGATTAAACAAAAGTAAAAGTTTTTAACTTTTTTTCGCTCTTCCACTTTTTGGCCAATCCTTCTGGACCGCTTGTTACCCAGATTGTTGTTATTTCCCGTTCAATTGGCTGAATCTCCTCAAGCGTTTCGTCAATCACTTTCATGGCCAAAAGAATCGAACAGCTTGCAAGGGGAGGCAAAAATAAAACAAAATGAAGGGTTTAGCAGGGGGTTGGATACCAAAGTTGCGAGCTTTTAACACAATTTAAAGCATCCAAAGGCGCCCCATTCTCCGCCCTATCCCAACCCATGGAAATTTTTGCCTGGCCTTGCTGCACTCTTCTTTTTTTCGACTGCACCCAAAACTTTTCTATTGAAAAAACAAAATTCTGATAGGGCAGGAGTGCAGCGTTTGATCGAGTTTGGTTCATTGATGAAAATGTCGAGAGTCACTTTCGTTATGCTTTAGTTTTAACTTTTAGTTTAGCAATTTCTGCCTTTTCATGTTGCCATTTTGATTTTAATTACCTTTCTCTCTCTTGTTTCCCTTAGATTTTTTCTGCTTTTTATTTGCTGAACATTGTGGCTCAAGGACTTGCTCAAAGGTCCTTTATTTTGTATTTCTTTTACATGGAAAATGTACAAATCGTGGACAATTCGGAAAACCGTTAATTGATGGGGAAAAGTTAACCGCTCAGCGGATGTAAGCGTTTGTAATTTTTGTATTTAAGTCGTCCGTTATAAGTTTTAGGAAAGGTTACGTCAACTAATAGTTTTAGTTTCTTTTGTTAGCTTATGAATGGAAAAAAATCTTCTTAAGAAAACGCTTATTTTAAAAACACAAAACCTTTCAAAGCATATGTTACTTCCTGCTGTAAAAATCTGCTTCCAAGAATAAACATTTTTTCTAATTCCGCCAGCATAAGCGCCGATGCAAAAATACCAACATAATTTAAATTGACCCTGACAAACTGAGCAAAAAATTTCGAAAGTAAAGCCCCAGTCCCTGGCGCACCTTTCATTTCCCTTCACCTCAGACAGTCTGCGCTAAAATATGCACAAAGGCCAAAAGATGTACGGCAGGAAAATGCCTTAAATTCGCCCACAAAATGCTTTTAAGCCGCGCATATCAAATTGTTTTCCATGAAAACATGAGAAAAAGATTCAGGGCACAGGAACAAGGCAGTACGAGGAGGTGGAGGGAGAAGGAAAAGTCATTTAATATGCGACAAATGTATCGTGAGAAATAATTTCATATTTGACGCAGCTTACCCGGCAAACAGATGAGCAGCAGGGCCAACAGCGGGATCAGGCGCCCCGGCATCTTGGCCAACTCCATTAAAGTGCCAAGCAAATTGATAATCCTTGCTCCGTGTCGAGTCTGGAATTGGACGTGTTTCGCGCCCCGAACTCCGCGTATCGCGTATCGCGTAACTCGTTTCGGTTCCCCGATTCGGTTCCTTACTTCGCGGTCCTTGGCCAGCTAAATCCTTTGGCCTTAACTGGGTCACATTGGCTGTCTGGCGGCGTTGGGCCGCTGGAGCCTGTATAAATTTATCCCCTGCCTCGGCGGGGGGATTCCGAGTCCAAGTCCGCTGTTGTTCAATGCTGTTGTTGTTGTAGCTCTTGTTGCTCTTGTTAATATCGCGTATACGCCTTGACACGAACAGCTGCAATATCTTCTTCTCCTTCGCGTTGCTGGCGTTTCTTTGGCGCACAAAATCGCAGGGTTAACATATTTTCAAATTGCACTTGCACGGTAAGCTTGTCGGGGCAATCTAAAATAACTAAAAGCTAAAAATGTCGTATGGGTAGCTGCTCGGCTAGCAGCAGCAGCAGCAAGAACAACACGTGGCCAATTTTAAATATTCCCACAATGTGCCCGTCGAGCTTGGTACCATCTAACGTTTTAGGTCTTGTATTCCTACATAAACATTCTCTGGCTCCTAAGGCCCGGCCCGTGTCCCAGTTTATGGCCGGCGTTTTGCGCCGCGTCCTGTTTTTGATATGTTTGTGCAAGTTTTCGGTTGGCTTGGGTAATGTGGGTGCTCTTGGCATTAGTTGCGAAACCAAGGTGTTCCCATTTACCTCGGTCATATCCAGAACTACTTCAAATCTCCCGGCTATTTAAACTATACATCTTGTATATAAAAAACCAAGATCGCCTTAATTCGAAAAGATTCCATTGGACTTATTTAGACTTTTTGATTTAAATCCTAGGTTTTGTCCAATTACCGACGGGAAAACCAAATAAGAAAACTTAATATTTAAAAAGTCAGCTCAAGCTGCTAGTCCCTTGAGAAATAAATTTGCTAATTTTTAGGGAAATTTCAGAGAATTTGGTTTTCGGAACAGAGACACACATGTAGTTGTGTAAGCTTGAGCTAGGGGCATTCCATTTGACCAACCTCTGTTGCCGTCGTTTGCTCGGTTTCCCAGTTTCCCTGTTTTCCAGCTAGTGCGGCTGCTTGTGTTACCTCATCTTTCTTTTACGCCCCAGACTATTTGGCATTAACGAAATTTATTTATGCGGGTGTTTAGTGGGGCGTAAAAGGAGTACATATGGCCATCCCATCCAGTCGGGCGAACACGCCCACCGGGCCAACTTACGAATGCAGGACACGCTTAGGATGAATTGAAAGGATTCTCGATGGCTAGCCAAGGTGTAGGTAGGTCGGGCTCGATGGCTGGATGGCCGGCTGGTCTGCCAAGTCTGGTCAAGAATAATGATTTAAATGCTGTTTTGTCTCTGCCAACAGATGGGCTTGAAGTTGGACTACGAGCGGCAGTCAGAGTTTGAGAAATGCCAGGCATACATAAGTAATGGCGGTGGAGTAGGTGGCCCAATGAAGCGTTAACTCAAATGTTAAACAAATGTAATGTTCCGGACGACTGGGTCGTATACCCTCAAGGAGGAGAACGAGTTGGAAGCGGACCTCGAGCCAGCCAGAGCTTGGATAACACAAATAATATTAAATTGATTGCACAAACAAAACAGCAGCGGAAGTGTAAATGATTTAACACAATTCCTATTTCTATTCGCATTCCGCATCCTCGACTTTTGACTGTTGTCCGTCTTGGTATTGGTCTTGGCCTTATTTCTGCTCTCAGCCATCTGCTCTGTTCAAACACTAAGAGTTTTGGTCCATGCTCGACGGCGTGGAAAGCGGGAAATTCCTATCGCTTGTAATGTAGTTTATTTTGATTGCCATTCAGTTTCGTAACTGTGTCATTAATTCCTTATTATTTTACATGGTTATCTAAGAACGATTATTGTGGTAGATTTTCTTCAAATGATTCATAGATTTGATTTATTGTTTACTTTGTAATCAGTTTTTGAAGAGGTTCGTGGTCTTAATAGCATTTATATTTCATTACACTGCAATGGTTGTTTGCTTAAAATAGTCATTGTCATTAACATGATAGTCTTTCCATGTCACGATCGCTAGGACAAAGTATGTCAAATATTGCAAGTTTAAACAGATCAGCTTACTTTATCTATAATCACTTATTTACGATTCCTTTGCTTAAAGTTAACATTCGCGTTTAGTTTTCATAATTATTTAAATCTGTAGACTTTGTTTTTAGTTTTCACACTTTCGTATATTGTCGTTTTGGTTGGTTATTTTATTTTGAACATAATAATTTGTATCTCCATTTAAATAATTACATCACTGTCCGATCACTGTTAGCTGTCAAAGATCCTTTCCAGAATTAACCATTTATAACTCTCCGAGGAGGCTGATTTCTCAGAAGCTTTAAAGCGAGAATCGAACCACGCTTGGCACCGGCTAAAAGTAAACTAAGCCAACTGACGACACCTTAACAGGCCAAACGAATCGGGGCCCGAAGTTAACCGAAGAGCTTGCCTCGGTGGCGTATACGCAATATTCGCTAACAGCGAAAGAGAACTCGAAATGCTGTAAGCGAAAGTTTACTGTTGCACGAATACCGGCCAAAATGAAATGTTAACTCTGTCAAGTCTGTAAACGAAACAAATGCAATTACACGGCTAAACTGGTCTTTTGTTATTGGCCATGTTTTATGCATTGGGCTGTTAGCCAAATTACTCATTAGGATTTTATGTAAATTTCAGTCTGCGAAAGCATAAACTCTGGGGAGACCCAAATTATCCCTTTAAGCCATGCCAATTTCAAGACAAAGGGTTAGGGCTGGAAAAGGAGGCTGCAATCATAGCACCGTTTATAGCAGCTTAACAGTGCGATAACATAATTCCTCATTAACGTCGAACCAAAGGCGCCTGTACAATCCTCGAAAAAAATAGTCGTGGCCAAAAAAAAGAAACGAGGGGCAAAAACAAAGCGGATGAAAAGGATACGAACGAAAGTGGGACAGCAGCAGCAAGAGCTGGGGAAACCGCATCTTGGCCGGATATGCCATGGCAAAGTGCAAAACACAGGGATAGCCGCGGATATAGCGGGTAGCAAGGAAAACAAAGAACCAAATTATAATGCAGACGAACGGGCCATAGATGTCGCCGCGAATTGCGAAGACATTCGCAACTTTGAAGGGTGGAGTCCGCTTTAGCAGAGCAGCAAAAGCCGAGACGAAAAAAACGGAAGCTTTTGCATAAAATTCAATTTGTCGTGTGCAGCAGCCATGAATATGCCGAACTCCGGCTTTAAGCCGAACCTGATGATGGTCCTCTGGTCGGTCCACCACCCCCTGGGTGTAACATATGCGCGAAATTACTTACGTAGTGCTGTCACTGACAGTTTCGGATCTGGAACCACCCAACCCCAATCCCAGACCCAATCCCAGTACCAACCTCAACCCATCCAATCCCAGCTCCCAGAAACATACCCATCGCCATGCCGAAAAACCCCACAAAGGCTTGTAAAACAATGGCTGCATATATGCAGAAGACACATTCACTTTTTAATACGGCCCCACCCCCATACACAATTTCGAATATTTTTATTGTTTATATAGTTAAATAAGTGAACCACCCACGGCCACACACGCACACACAGACATTCACAATCATTGGCAAATTAAAACGATTTTTGCATATATTCCTTTGTTTTGCTTTACACAGTCGTATTGAAAGGCCCGCAGCTAATTGTTTTTCATAAAATGAATAAAACTAAAAGAATTACTCAAAAACATTTGCCCGTAACACAGACATGCCGAGGGTTAATTATAGGGCTATTATATGGGCTTAGGAGCTTGATTGGACAAATGTTTGTATCTCTTCGGCTAATGGGAGTTGTCATTCGCAGAATTCAAATTAGTTTGATGAAAAGTGATTACATTGATTGAAATGAAGTTAATTAACACGAAATTCCCCATGTATTTTAATTTTAAACCATACCTTAAGGCTCTTTTCCGCTCTACAGTACTTTCCCTTTCCAACTCAACTCAATATAAACAATCGAGCGAGTTATCCCTGCCAGTTCGAATGAAGAAAAATTTTCCGCTTAGCTCTGCAGTTCACTCAATAGAACTCAATCATGCAAGACCCTTGAAAATGAATTTCTCCTTGCCTTTTGCACACCTTTCACTTTTTTCTTACAAGTCATTAATCACAGTTGTTGAAAAGCAGAGGTGGAGAAAAAATTAAAAAATTACTCAAAGGAGCAGATAAAAAATTGGATAAGAATGCGCCGTCTTAAATGGGTCGCTGGAATTAACGCGATTAAGTTGGACAAACGCCTGCTCCGATTACAAAGGATAATCAAATTAAGATCGAAAACAGATATCTTAGCTTTTCATATATATATATATATATATAGTGAAAGATAAGACAGAGCGATTAACTTAAAAAGAAAGGGTAAAGTCTTTGTCAGAGGTTGGATCTTAATTAAGCATCGGATTGCCAGTGACAGCGAAAATGCAGATGAGTGTAAAAAGGAAGGGTGAGCTTTTAAGGGATAGAAAAATAAATCACTAAACTCGAAAATATATAAACTGTTCCCCAGTTAGAGCTCTCGTTGCCAGCCATTATCTACCTAAAATCAGTGCATGAAATCTCTGGTCAGGAAAAGGCATGCCAGCCAGGAAAAACATAAATTTCTGGGCAAAATGTTCAGCAGCCACCAATTAATTCAAAATTTATAGCCAGTCAAGCACTAAGGCATCATTGTCCACAGCCCGGCACATTCATCGTGTCTGGCTAATGTGAACGTGAACCCATGGGCGGTGTAACGGGGGGGTGGCATTGAGGGGGCTTAGGTAAAGGGATAATTCCAATTTTGCAGCTGAATGGGGGTTTTTCAGGGGGGCGGGGGAGTGCAACAAGGGACCGCATTAGCCGCAATGGTCGTGTGTGACAGCTGGACGTTGTCGCATATGAGGAGTATTCAGGCCCTGACTGTGTCATTTATGCATTGCCGACTGATTGATTTGGCACACTCTGGAGCCCCTCAGCACAAGGCAGTCAAGTAAATGTTCAACCAATGTTCCTGCGGTCGACAGCAGCTTCTGCCTGAAGTGTTGATCACTGCACTCGGAAAAGCGAACCGAATATGGCAATATCAACTAATGAACTTTGTCTAGTAGCCATGAATGCATTAGAAAGCTCTTTAAGCTGAAATCCAATTAAAAGTCATTAGGAATAGGATTCATTTCATGGGTATGCATAGATTACATACTTTATTTAGCAAATAAAACTACTTAAAAATATAGAAGAGAAGGTAGAAGATAAAATATAATATATTTAGCCATCTCATCCAAGAAAATTTCAGCTTTAGTTTCAGCAACCAATTGGAAAGTTGGTTCCATGTTTTAAGCTTGAAAGGCTAGAGCAAAAAGAAAATCATATATTTTCGATCAACCTACTAGTTTACTCTTATTTATGCCTCATACAACTTTAATAGACGTAAATAGAAAACTTTCAAATCGTTTCAAAATCAAAAATCATTTCAATTTGGTACTTTCAGGCAGAGTAAATAACATTTATCCCAGAAAATACAGAGGGGATGGAGCAGTAAATGATGCCTTAAACAGAGTTCAAATGACAGTGAAAATCTTTTTGCAAATCCTCTAGGCAACAATTACACATTTGGCTGTGACTCGGTCCGAGTTGCTCTGTGCTGGCATTAATGCGGTTAGGTTGTGTAACCTTCATCTCAGTCGCATGAGAATAGCCGACTATCCCCCCCGCCTCCGAAAGTGCCAAAAAGTCTAAAAAAGGAAATTCGTTTTTTCAGTTTCGGGTAGCTGTAGCTGTTGTTTTGGTCCTGTGGCACAGCATCCTCTGCATGACAACTTCACTCTGTTGCTCCATTTGCAACATTTATGGGATTTCGTATGTTGTTGTCTGTCCTGTGCATGTATGTGCGTGTTTCTGTATCTGTGCGGTGTATCTGTGTGCGGGAGGTCATTTTATTGTTTCCAGACAAAATGGTCAAATGGGAATTCGGCTTTCAGCTCAGCTTTTTTGGCCCTGTTTCAGTGTGTTTCTGTGTGAGTAGCCGATAGATTTAGATTGAACTGTCGAACATGTTAGTGGAGCACAAGCCAAAAAACAAGGGGACGCTATCGGAGATAGGCCAACGAACCAGTTAGCCGGCCAAAGCAATGCAAATGATTAGAATAATCGCCGTAGGTGTTTGACTTATCCGGACTTACTTGCCCATAAACACAAATTTCATTTTGCCGCAATAAAAGTTTCCATTTGCCCCTTTCGAATGCCTTTTATGGCTCTCGTTTGACTTTTAAACCAAGATTCATCCATCCCGATCAAAATAAATTCCATGGGCTCATTGTAAAATGAAAGCAATGGAAAACGATTTCCTTTAAGCCTTTGGGAAAGCGTGTGAGCGGGAGTTCCTTATTAAATTATTCGTTGATACATTTCCAATTATCAGAACTCACCAGTTTTCTTGGTAGAAGAGCCATCCGTAATTCTAATTTATGTTTTTTGCCGCTGACAAAATGGGGGGAAATATTCATTCATTTGCACCTTTCACAATCGTCGGTATTTTCGCCTCGCTCCCTTTTCGGAATGCTAATTTCTCGCGTGGAAATTTTCCACGAGTTGGCAAATTAGGTTCTGCGGCTGTTGTGTTAGAGTACCAGCCATGTTGATATGTCCAGAATGGGAAAACAGAAGATTTGTTTCGGTTTCATGAATTTTGCATTTAACAATTTGTGCCAAACAATATTTTACAGCACTCATAAGCCGTATTTTTAGGTTGTTTCTAATGTAAAATAACTTGTTTAATGAATTGAGCCACAAATTATTGCTAAATGGGTTGCTGCCAGTGGAGATTTATATCATCCAAATGTGTATCATTCAAAAAGGTTACCAATTAGTAATTAGTAAGATTAGTATGTTCTCAAATTATCAGTTTATATGAATGAGAAATGAGAAATAAATTTGGTAATTATCTGCAATTTATTATTAGGTCTGTGACCTTTTTATTATCCATTTTATAACTTTTATATTTTAAAATGATCTATATTAAGTTGATTTCATTTAGGTGGTCCAAGAATTTTCTCGATTTCACAGAGTCTGTCCATCACCTGCTGATTTCTGGCCTTCTGATCCTTTAGCTTCTCCCCTATGGCATCCAGTGTGGCTGCAATGGCCAACAGGGAAACATCGGTGGTCTGAAGATCTCTAAGCAAAGGAGTTATCTTTGCCACGGGAACGGAGTCTGTTGGTGGAGATGATTGATCAGGGATTTCAGCTGCCACGACCTCTTCTACTGGTTTTTCTGCATTAACAGGGACTTCTTCTCCAGTGATGGCAGCTGTTTCTACTACTTCCTCAACTGCAGCTGGTTCTTCGGCTGCTGGCGTTTCTGAAACGACTGGTTCTGGAGAAGATTGGACCTCTTCGACTGCAACTGATGTTTCAACGGGCTCCTCAACTGGGACAACTATCTCAGAAGTCGGCTCCACAGCAACTATTTCAACTTCTGGAGATTGTTCCTGGGCAGTTGCACGTTGGATCCTCAATAGCCGAGGGACTCTGCTCAACAACATCCTCGGCTGGTTTTATCGTTGTCTCTAGAGTCTCAGCCACTGGGATCTCTTGGGCAACAGGAATGGGTGCTTCTGGTTCAGAGATCGGCACTACAGGTTCAACGGCTGTAGTGATCGGCACTTCGGTTGATTCCAAACTAGGCTCAGGATCAACTGGCTCAACTGCTGCAACAGCAGCGGTTTCTGGTGTGGGGATTTCGGAAACGGGAGACGCTTCGACAGCTGGTACCGAAGTCGCTGTAGAAGCTTTGATTGGTTCAGGAGTCTGCTCAACAATATCCTCCGCTGTCTTGACCGCCGTCTCTGGAATCTCTGAACCGGAAATTTCTTGAGCGACAGGAATGGTTGCATCCGGTTCAGGGCTTGGAGCTGCTGCTTCAACAGGATCAGGTATCGGAACTTCGGTTGATTCCGGAACAGGTTCAACTGCTGCAACACTAACAGGATCAGGAGTGGCGGTTTCGGCAATGGGAGAGGCTTCGTTTGGAGTGCCTGTATGTGGTTCCGGAGTCGTCACAGGAGCCTCGATTGGTACAGGCTCCGGAATTACCTCTGGGGCCGGAACGGAAATCTCTGCAACAGGTTCTTGAATCGGTGCTGGAGCTTCTTGAGTTTCGGCTGCAACAACCACTGGTTCTTGGATTGCAACTGGAGTCTCCACAGGCAAAGGCTCCACTGGACTGGCTGCGATTGTTTCCGGTTCTGGTATTGGAGCTGGAATTGCTTCTGAAACGACGGTCGACTCCACGGTTACAACTTCTGGAGCAGGAATAGACTCTGTCGGAGCTGAAGTTTCCGACAATGCAACCTGCGGTGTAGATTCTGCAATAGCCGCTTCTGTGGGAGGTTCAATTGGTTGAGCAACTACTGGCTCCGAAATGGCATCCGGCTCTGTTGCAGCAATTACTGGTATGTTGGCGACGACAGGAGCAACGCCCACTGGTGGTGATACAGCTACCGGAGTCTCGGCAACAGGTGGTGCAGCGTCAACGGCAGGGGTCTCTGGAATCGGTGCTGAGGCTGCAACATCCGCAGCTATCACGGGGGCAACAACTATTGGTGTCTCAACAACAGGTGGCGGAGTAGCGACACAAGGCTCCACAGGTGGTGGAGCTTCCACAGCCACTGGAACCTCCTTAACTACCGGCGTCTCCGCAATAGGTGTGGCAACAATGGGTGGTGCAACCGCCACTGGCTCTGTAGCAACGGGAGGGGCAGCAATCACAGGTGGAGGAACAACGGCTGGAGCAACAACAGGAGCAGCGACAGGAACAACGACTGGTGTTTCTGGTACAGGTGTTGATACTGCAACAACGCTAGGTGCCACAGGTGTTGGAACAGGAGCGGGGGCTTCAGCAACAGCAGCTGGTGGTGTTTCGGTCACAGGAGTGACTACTGCAGCCGTTGCATCAGGAGTCGGTGCTGCGGCAACTGGCGACACCACTGGTGGTGGCACAGAGACAGTGGTTTCGGAAACAGCAGCTGGTGGTGTTGTAATCACAGCAGCAACTACTGGAGCTGCTGCCACAGGTGGTGCAACTGCAACCAGAGTTTCAATGGCAGCAGCGGGAACAGGAACAACTTCAGGAGCCGCTACAGGAGGCGTTGGTGTCGGTGCAACTGGAGCCGCCACAGCAGCAGGAGCGGGTGAAGTTGCGATCACAGGAGCAACTGCAATTGGAATTTCTGCGGGGGCGTTTCAATTACAGGAGCAACTACAACAGCGGCTGCAGCAGGCGTTGGTGTCGATGCAACTGGAGCTGCCACAGTTTCAGTAGCAGCAGCGGGAGTTGCGATCACATGTGGAGCAATGGCAATCGGAGATTCAATGGCAGCAGCGGGTGGCGTTGCACTTACAGGAACAACTGCAGGAGCCGCTACAGGAGGCGTTGGTGCCGGTGCTACTGGAGACGCCACAGCAGCAGGAGCGGGAAGAGTTGCGATCACAGGAGCGACTACCGGAGCTGCTGCCACAGGTGGTGCAACTGCAACCGGAGATTCAATGGCATCAGCAGGTGACGTTGGAGCCGCTGCAGTAGGCGTTGGTGTTGATGGAATTGGAGCCGCAACAGCTTCAGTAGCAGCAGCGGGAGCTGCGATCACAGGAGCGACTACTGGAGCTGCTGCAGGCGTTGATGTTGCGGCCACTGCAGGGGCTACTGGGGCTGGAACAGAAACTGGAGTCTCTACAACAGAAGCTGGTGGCGATGCGATCACTGGAGCTGCTGTAGCAGGCGTTGGTGTTGCGACAACTGGAGGCACCACCGGTAGTTGAACAGAAACCGAAGTTTCGGAAGCAGCAACGGCTGGTGTTGCGATCGCAGTGGGCACTACTGGTGCTACTGCCACAGGTGTGGGTGCTGCAACCTACAGGACTTGCCACTGCTGATTGAACTGCAACCGGAGTTTCAATAGCAGTAGCAGGTGGAGTCGCGATTATAGGAGCAACTGCTACAGCCGCTGGTGTTGCGACAATAGGAGGAGCCACAGATGCGACGGGGGCAGCAACAACAGGAGTCGGGACTGTTGTAGTAGCCACAGGGGCGACGGGCGATGGAACTGCTGCTGGTGGGGCAGTTGCAGTAGGAAGCGCAGCAGAAATAGGTGTTGCCACTGGTGCAGAAGCTACTGGTGCGGGCGTTGCTAGTTGGGCGGGAGTAACAACCGGTGTTGCAGCTGCAGGTGGTGCTGGAGGGACAGGATCAGGTGCTGGAGTCGTTCCTTGTTCCATGTTCTATTTGTTTGTCCACTTCCACACGAAAGGTCAATCCGTTCTTTCCTTATGGGCAGGCTTTCACTTATCAAGGGCTCAGCGAAAGAGAAGTTTCATGGCCAACTTTTCATGGTCAGTAGAGAACTGAGAACAGAGCAAAAGAGGAACATGAATAAGCATTAAATGAGATAAGCCTTATTTTGGCCTTGAATTTGGCCATTGCCCCAAATAAAATTAAAATCGATGACGGAACAGGCAAGAAGAAACGAAAAAGAAAACAAAATAAGCCCCCGTCATATCTTTTAACTGATTCTTGTTGAAAAATCGATCGAATAAATTGAGCTTCATTAAGTATGACTAGAAATGTTGCAACCAAAAATCAAAACCATTTTAAATTTAATCTCTCTTTTAGAATTTCGTGAATTAAAGTCGTTCTCCTAAAGTTCCATTCTTCATTTGTGTCAATCATTACCTTAGGTGAGTTACTAAAGTTTAATTTAATTTCAGCAATGACTAACAATTATTATTGCTGCAGGTGTAATCCTAGGATTTAAGTTCGTTTGTTACGTCCTCGATGTTAGTTTCTCATCCTTTCAAGAGTTTTTTCAATAATACTAACCGAATAGTCTAATATTTTTAGACAGCGACCGACTTTTCGTTGTAAAAATCTGCAGCTAACTAGTCAGTTGACTCAGTTTTCTTGGGCATTTTCACCTCTTTTCATTGGTTTGCCTTCGTTCAGAAGACTGACAACTGCCCATTGAGCACAAGTACCATACGCATAGTTTCAAGTGCTTTTTGTGTTTTTTCGTTTAGCTTCTAAGGTGCTTAGCAGCTGACCTTAGTCAGTATTAAATATTTTCCGGTTCGCACGAGAAGGCATTTGGTGTGCGCTGAAAAGTGTGCTACATGCGTTTGCGTTCACCAGTTCGTATGAGTGATATTCTTGTATTATCGATTCTGTTCGCATCTTGCCAAATGCATTGAATTCATCTAAGGGAAACCCTTTTAAGGATTTATTCCCGCTTCATTGCATATCGCTTACCACTCGCTTTGTCAGCTGCACTCGCAGACACATAACTGGTTATTTACACAATACTGATTACTTTGCCGTATTTGCAATGTAGTTGTCAACAAAATGCGACAAGTCCCTATAACCCTCCGACCCCTCCTCTCCCTGAACGGGCCCTCCTCACCATCGACTATCCACTAACCCAACAGCGTCGGTCCGCCATTCAATGTCTGATGCAATGACAGTTGACAAACTGCCACTACGTAGCCGTTGGATCGGAACACATTAGCTCGGTGGAAATGTAATCGCAAAGAACTAAGAAATAAATCTTTCAATTTTTCGAATGAATGGAGGATGGAGGACGGAGGACGGCGGACGGTGGAGGATGGAGAGGGCCGTGAGGAGGAAGTGCAGCCAAATGTAAAGCAATCCACAGAGGCAGCCGGCAGTTGCACATGCCGTCCGTTGGAGCAAGTGTAATGTGATCTGCGTACAATTTGCAGCCTTCGTTTAAAAAAGTCCAACACCTCCGTACACCCCGCAAACCCTACTGGCCGGGAACCTAGCACACTTGAGACTTTTGCAAATAGTTTTTCCACATATGAACAGAAAGAATTTTCCTCACAAAAATACAAAAAAAAAAAAAATGAAAATAAAAAAATTGCTAGCGAAAAGAAAAGAAATACATATATATAAATAGACGAGATGGGAAAACGCTTATATGGAAATGATTTCACTGGAGAAGTGGAAGAGCGAACGGAGTAGTTGTGAAGATTGAATTGGCAGTTCAATTTCACGTATTATTGACATTTAAGCGTAAGCATTTGAATATAAACTGAACCCGGCTCAGGGATTGAATGCTCCGGAAGGCCGAGACCAGGAGCGAGTCCTTTTCACAGGATGCACAGACATTGGCTGCCTATTATTTTCTGTGCGATAAATCAATCGCATGAAGCAAAATGCAGAGAAAATACCAAGATAAGTGGAAATGAAATTACATCAAGCATACAAATTGTATTTATACTTTATTCTATCTTCTGCCGCATCACTGAGTCCGACAATTGATCTGAATCTGAGCAGACCAGGCGAAAAGGAGTTTCAGTCATAGAAAGAAATGTATTTCTCTCTGATGTCTTATGACATTTGTGGTTATTTACAATTTAGATTTTAACAGCTTAGAATGTTGCAGCAGTGATCTATAAAGGATAATGTGAATACAGCTCTCAAGTTTTGGTAGTTTAATAAGTATTTGTGGTAGTAATTGTCAAGTTCAATACTATTTTGAAATGTGAAACAAAGCTAAATTTGGAGTATTTAGATCATGCCCAAAATAAAGCTAAGGCAAATAATAAATTTGAAATCCATTGACAATGCATTTCAGGCACTTCTCACAGGTGGGGGATCGACTACAAAAAACCCAAATCAGTGCAACACATAAACCTAATTGCCGTCATTCTGCACGCACTCGGGGCGTGTTAAAAGTTGGGTCCGAATGCGATTGGAAAAACCAAATACAAATATGAATACAAATGCGGGGCGAAAATCGAAATTGCGAAATGCGGCGAAGAGGAGCTCAAGCTTCAATCCGGGCCCGCTTCCGGGTGTATTTTGCTAAATTGCAAATATTTCTCAATTCGCATGCATCAGCAGAGAATGCAATGCAAACAATTTTCACCCAGCGGCCACAATAAAAAGGGAAACCCCCGGCGAGCGCAAAAAACCCAAACACCCACACGCAGTAGGGCACACAAAGTGCTGTCTAGGCAAAAAGAAAAAAAGCGAAAAAAAAAATTCGCAAAAATCGGCGCCGTATGGCAACCCTGGTCGCTGTGTGGCTGCAGCAACTATGGCGCAATTTATTTCCAGTTTGATTGGTTTTTTCGTGCTTAATTGCACTTGGCTTGCGGGTGGTAAGGAGGGCGGCTGATTCTGACCATCCAATTGGGATCGGTGGGGGTGGCTGTGTGGATGTGAATTGCGTTGAGGGTGGTGGGTAGTTGCCCCAATTGGTTGAAAGGTCGCGCTCATCACGTGCTTTAATAATTTATTCAAATTAACACGCGTCAGGCTGCCTTTCAGCTGCCCTGCGATAGTGTCTGTTACAGCGTTTATGCGGAGTCCTTGATGAAAGAACTTAAAGAGAAAAAGTCATATAAATTTAAGGTTACTACATATTACAAAATTTATTGAAAAATATGTTTAAAAACAAAAGCCATGAGAAACAGTAACCTTTTCTCATCTATTCCGTGGAAATTAATAAATACTTATTATATTATTCCAACTTAAAAGATGCCTTTAAATTCATTATATACATTCTATAAAAAATCCCTTTTCTCAAAGTCTGCAGCATGAACATGATATGAGCCAGTTAGTGGGTCAGACTGCGCTCGGTTAATGGCCAACACTTTGTGGTCAGAGCAAACCGGAAAAACTGGCAGGCAAATGCAAAATATTGCACACAAGCACCCACTTACGGTCGACACCCCTTTACACTTTTTCTCCCCCAATTTTCACCTACCTGAACCCGGACGCGGGACGGGAAAGTGTGAGTGTGTAAATTACAGCTACATTTTTAATGCATTTTTATTTACATTTACATGGCAGCGCAAACAGAGACCAGTTGAGCGGGGAAATGTCCTGGCCTGACACGAACTTTTGACACTTGACAATTTGATTGTTTTTAAGGCAAAGTGTTAAATTATGCAAAGCATATAACAAACACAAATCGAGAGGCACGCACGCACACACACACGCACTGTATCAACAGCTATGTAAAGTAAAATATTTAATTTTAAATAAAAAGCCCAGCAACAATTTGCATCAATTAAATGTTGAGGAATCCTTAAAGAACTTGAATGATTTTTCAAGATTTCCGAAGTGACAAAATTCCAAAATAGACTTGACACTTCAAGCATTTAGTATTAAATGTTTAATCTCGTTAAGGAAGTGATGATGTAAGTGGTTATTTTTGTTGAACGGTTGGCTAAATTGCATAAAATGACAACTTAAACTCTGGGCTTGTGTAATATTTTAATAAAGTAAATAAATTTAATCCCAGATGTTTAACCGGATTACTATTTTTAGAATTAATTCCAAATTAAATTATTAAATCTGAAATGAAAAGGCCTGTTAATATAGTTACTTTACAGCAATAAATTACCAGCGTTATGAAATCCTCAGCCTTCGTGTTATGACAGTGCTTTGCTGATTTTTTCAGTACAAATTTTCCGGCGAGGAAAACCCAGACAAACCGGTTAAAAAAATTCAAATGAATTGCACAATAAATGAACAATATTTAGTGGGTAATTGCAACTAATGTAGCAAGTTAAATGGCAGTAAACTAATTACGATCCCTTGGTCTGGTTCAACATAATTTTCATTGCATTTTTCAGCCCCTTTTTCCAGACTCCTTTTCGCAAGCTCCTTCCAGGCCTTCCGCTCCTTGCGACTCCTTGCTGGCTCCTTTCTTGTGGTAAATTAACTTGAATGCCGCAATGTATTTACCGGTACTCCAGGCAAGGGGAAAAACAACAAAGAATATGGCGAAAGGAGTAAAAAAACAATCTAAAGCCTGCAAATGGAAAGGGTTAAAGAGCAAACAAATCCGACAAGCCGAGAGAAATGCTGCAGGAAAGGTAGGAAAATGCGCGCGTGAAGGGCTGAAAGGTGGGGCCAGGAGTCGCGTAACTTTTATCATTAGTCCGCTGGGAAATTTAACGGGCACTTAAGTTTTTCTCACTCGTTTTCAACTTATACTTTTTTTTTTTGCTGAACTATTGTTTAGCCATAGCTCCACTTCCACCCGCTTCCACCCATTTCCCCAGCTGTCACCTTTCATTTGGCTCCTGCTCAGCTCGGTTGAAAATTTATATTATGTTCACTCCAAATGCGGCACTAAGGTTAGCAGCATCATTTATAAGGAACTTTTATTTTTGTTAAGCGTGCCTTGGCCCGCTTCGGTTTTTGCGGATATTGTTGCAATTTATTTTATTGCATTTTGTCTACAGTTTGCGGATTTAATTTGGCCCCCAGCACTGCGAACTACAATCTGGTCTTCACCCGGGCTTAACAAGCTGCCAAGTTTTTAATGCCAGGCCTAAGCGGAAACTTTTTCGATTTGGTTCGGGTTGCCTACTATATATTCTTCCGCTTCCTTGGCTTCATTTTTTTGTTGTTGATTGTTGTTTTGGGTTGATTCTGGGCCTGGGACTGGGTGTATATTGCGCCATTAGGCTTACTAGCGGTCACTTTACTCGGCCAATTTTCATGGCCCAAAAAGATGGTTGTCAAAATTACAAAATACTTTAAATGCGATTGCAGATAAGGTGACACCGGCTAAGCTACGTGTTTCAGGTTCATGTCCCAAAGATATCACAATACCAGAGCAGGACCACATCCTTAGATGTGGACACGTATTCACACAGCATGTGCCCAGAACGAGGATATACCAGAGAAGTGCTTGTCCTGTCTTTGGTTTTTGGATAGTTTCAAGATGTGAACATATGAACGCTTAAAGAAATGTCAATTACATTTGTCGATGTGGACATTCCTGGTGTTGTTGCTGTTCAAATTTGAAATATCATTGTGGAGCCGAGAAGGGTTCTGGCCGAGTTTCCATCCAACACCAAGTGACATTTGTTGAGCTGGCGAGGCCGCAACTCCAGCTCGGCTGTGGGCACTCAGCACATGTCGTTCTAGGAACAAGGAATTATGTCCCCAC